GGAGGATGCAGTACGAACTGCGGGCTTAAAGAGGTCGCGCATCGCTCCGCGTCCGACGAAGCAAGGTCGCCGAAAGAAATTTCGACGGATTGGACAGTGACCTCACGGTTGACCAAAGTTTACTCACACCAGAGGTTAGGTACAGGTCTGCAGATGCTCTTCCTATTTCTTCCGCTTATGTACGTTCACTAGTTGCCAAATCTCCGCGTTGAGGTGCCTGCTAAGGGGATTTCCGGGATCGGCCTGACGAAGGCTGTCACGCTCGTCGGCTAGAACAGCCGCTTTAGCAGGGATATTTGGTCGTGGGTCCGTAATGCATCCTGCCGGTACGACATTCTAGGGTGGTATCCCTGCGGTCGATGCTTGCTTCAATAAGACGATACTGCACGGTGTGGTGCGTGATGAACGCTAGCCACCACCATTATCTCGCTCGCGATCTCGACGGTGCACGTTGTACCCGGCTCAATTCAACAATGTTGAATTGCTGTGCAACTTCGTCTCTTGGACCGCAGCTATCAATATACCATGCCTTCCCATGAAGACGGTTATCTCCTCGATCTTGCTTTGAAGTCCGTTACAGTTGAATTGAAGGAGCTTCATGTGGTTCGGGAGACGTGTAGTTATGCGGGATGTGAGGGATGTGTGTGACCTCCCCGCCAGTGGCTGAGTGCGCTGCTGTGGAGGTTGCCGCCCTGTGGTGGTAGTGGGTGGCGTCGCAGTTGGGGTTTGCGACCGAGCAGCGCAATACGGGTCCTCTGAAGTTCCTCGGTTTCTGGCCCTGGGTTTGACTCGCTGCCAGCCCTGAGCAGAAGTACACATAACAAATGTAGCCCTATGGAAGACCAACTTCTGAGATACTTCGCCGACCTAAACGGGGTTAGATCGCCGAAACAACAGCCCTTGGTCGAGGAAACCCCCCCGAGTCATTCCGTACCAAGGCCAACAACTGTGTCAGGTTTGGAAGAAATTGGTGCAGCGGCTACCAAAATATACAAATGTAACCATAAGTGGGCGTGGCTACGCCCATTTTCAATAAATTTATAATATTTTTATTTTTCGTGCAAAAATTATTGTAAATATCAATTTTGAGTGAATTATCTTCAGTAGTTACTAAAATATTGCAGTTTTCGTATTTTTTAAATTATCGTTATATGGGAGGTAGGCGTGGTTATTGTCCGATTTTGCCCATTTTCAATACCATTCTTCCTACGCCCGAAGTTTCGGTAAGATATCTCAATTTTTCCTCGAGTTATCGTGTGCACAGACGGACGGACAGACAGTAACCGCTTAATCGATTTCTCTTTTCGTTCTTATCATTTACGTATATATTTGTCTATATCTATCTCGATTCATTTTGCCTGTTACAAACAACCGTTGTGTGAACAAAGTTATAATACCCTTGTGCACAAGTGCGCTCGGGTATAAAAATACTAAAAAGTATCACACAAAAAATATGCAAAATATATTCACAAAAAGCGAAATGCAGCAATAAATGTTCAGACATGTCAACATAAACGTAATAATTTGTACAATAATAAAGCTAAAGTTTTAATTAATTTAAAATAAATCGGTTGGTTATTTTTTGATAAATAATGTCAACTGACTGAGTCTCAAAACTTTATCAAAGTCAGTTCCAACATTGCTTATTTTGCAATTGAACATGCTTTTACAACAATAATTTGCTGCAAATTTTGCAATACCTGGTGCATTAAAATTCGAAAACATTTTAAATCTTTTTTGCTAGTTTCGATTCTAATTTAAAATTTACCTACATCAGTTACTTAATTTATTATCTAATACACATATGTATCTATTATTTATCTATACTTACTCAGAAACATTTTTGGTTAAATTGTCTAAAAAAAAGAAGGATGAAATAGGCTTTCCATTATGAGGATTCCATTGATGCAAACATCGTGGTTCTTTGTCATGCATATAAACCTGATAGAAACGTATAACTCCATCAATACTACCTACGCCTAGAGTTGAACCATCGGGAGACAATGCCACCCAGCTTATAGTGCACAATTCATCAAATACTTTCAAATAACCTGTCGAAATAGCATTCGGTTGTATGACACCCATCTAAAATATAAATTAATAGTATTTGATTTGCAATTTTAAATAAAATACATACTCCATATTCCGAAATTATAACGTTTATATTAAAACATTGCAACATTGATCCTCTCGCCCACACAATTAACTGACTGTCTTCGTCATCTTCACCGGGAACATCAATAAAAGGACACCATGATATTTTGTCATATTTGGGAGAGTAATTATTCAACGGATCATCTATTTTTACTAAAAGATTGCAAATCAAGGTGCCATCCACAAGATCTATTTTGTGTATATAAAGTGAGTTCATGTCAATCGAACCAAGTATACGCTCCTTTTCAATATGCGCAAATTGCAGGTCAAGGACTTCTCCCGTCATTCCCTTGATTAGTGCACGGAGTCCCGACTGAGCCTTTACAACACGAACCATGCCCTCAACTCGAGATAGTTTGTTATTAACTACAAGAAATGATTAAATACATTTTTGTGAAACGTATATGTATATGTATATATCGCCGCATGGGTAAAAGATTGTCGTATGTTAATTTCGGCAGGTTGTGGGAAATCGCGATTGAAGTTTGGAATGCAATATATCATAAACGCAAAGATAGATTTTCTCCAAAGTCTCGGAAAATGTTACTACTTCACAAAATTATTAAATTATCTAATTTTTAATGTTTATTGTTAATTAGTTTTGAGTTTATGAAGAAGTTTCTTTAATAAAATTTTGTCGTAAAAAAATTTCTACTAAATTAACGACTTTTTTTACTCAATATCTCGGAAACCAAAGGAGAGAATGGAGAACGCCGTTTTTAAGATATTGATTAGTTTAATATGACTGCACCACTAACTAAATTTTTACTAGATTATCGACAAAATTTTACTAAATATCTTGGAAACCAAGGGAGATATCTACAAACTGATAACACGAACCGAAAGACCTTATTTCAAAATATATAACTGCATCTAGAACTAAACATCGTCAAAATTGCGCTTACGACAATCTTTTACACAGGCGACGGTATGTATCGTCGATAAAATGTAGAGGAGCCGACTGACATTTTTCATTTTTCATCCAATTCTATGCTTGGGACTTTTTAAAGTGACAAAATCATTGGATTTAAGTTGCGGTTCTAAAAATTTTGAAGGGGTGTGTTTTAGTATAAGGTACTTAAAAGTGCAAAAACCGTATTTCAAAAAATTGCTGTTATAGGACCTTTATACGTTTCATCAACGATATGTATATTGTTACATGTTTCATATACCGTTAATGACATAGGCAATATGTTTTCCGTCTAAATGCACTGCAATTAAATGACCCGGATAATTTTTTAATTCCCATTTGTAATCCACAATGTTTTTTAATTTGACTTTAGAAGATCCGTGGTCATGGGAACCGGGGCTGCCGATAACGTTTACATTATTGTGGGTAATTTCATGGGTGCATTGCTCGTCATCAGCTTTAAATGTGCTAAAGAGGGATATTAAAATATTATGTATGATTCCAATATGTTATTCAGAATTTTTTTCTTTACATGACGCTGCCGCTAGAGACCGCAACAGTACCATTTGAAACATCATTATTTAGCCCTGCAGAACCTGCATTTCCAACGTTAGATTTTTGTTGCTGTCCCATATAATTCACGTTCATTGTATTTTCACTCGCCGTTCCACTTATGTTAAAGTATGAATCCGGATTACCACGCCTTTGCATCCGCTGTAAAGAACTCCTTATAAGCGCTATTATAGTCAGCACCGAAATTAACATTTACACATAGACGCCGAGTAAATAAATATAAACTTTGTTTTTCAAACTCCTGAGATTTAGACAACTTTTATTTTCTTTAGCCTGGTATTCAAGTTTAGAGGTTTAACAAAGTTTTTAAAACTCGATTACAAACACTTCTGGCTTACAATCAGAAAGGTTATCGTTTCCGCTGAATTATAAGTGTGTATATTTAAGCAATCGTATATATATTTCCATTTATAAACGTAAAAAATGTATTTTAAGTTTTCCAAATACTGTTGGGTTTATTTATTCACATTTTCAATTCGCAGCCACAAAATAATTTTCCCAACGCCGCAAAGAGCAACTGACAAGCAGCGTTGCCGCGAGCTTGAAAAAAAAAGTATCAGTTGCCAAGCAGAAAAAGTATCAAAAGCAAACACAACTGGTATTTTTAGACTTTTATTTGAAAAACAAATAATAATTTAAATTTTATAACTAAATCCATAATTAAAAAAAAAATAAAACAAACAGAGGATCTGTATGCTTATCTGCATATCGAAGAACAAACTTCAAGGGCCCTTAAAGCACACAAAACATTGCGCAACCAAAGATTTGTACAAGTCAATACTCTGGAAATTACAACAAAATAAAATTGCGCAAACCTTATTTCGTCGAAACTCAATTAAATATGTACAAAAAGATTAATATGCGTTGTATATTTTGATAGCTTCAGCTTTAAAACGCTAAAAAGGCATATAAAAAAAAATGTATTATTTCTACGCTCTTATCCTTATTTTATAACAACTAGACTAAAAATTGCGCAGTTGCCGCCATACGATAATATGTGTTATTGTACAATAACACAAGCATGAGCAAATTATCAAATTTATGAACAAAAAAGTATCAAATCTGACAATTTAGACAAAAAAAAGTATCAAAAAGTATACAATTGTATCAAAACGGCAACGCTGCTGAAGGAGTAATGAAAAAATATTAAAAGCAAGAGGAATTGTCAAAAGCCGACACAGGGTTGTATTTATTCGCTATTGCATAACACAAGGGTTAACATATTAAGTTGCAAGTTTTCTAGCAATTTGCAATTTGCCCTTCCATTTACTAATGTTGTTGTTGTATTCCATTTTCCTCTCAAGAAGATACGCAATATTTCGTTAAATTTTCCCACCACATCACAGCAAAACTTGAACGTTAACATTATTTGAAATGATTACTTATATGTCCGATTTCAAAATCGTTTCCACGGGAAGCCTAAGGCAGGGGTTCCCAAACTGTTTTCACCTTGGCACCCTTGTTGTGCTAAAAAAAATTTCGCGGCACCCCTATTCTTCAAATGTCTACGAAAACAAGAAAACACATTGCTTAAACGTAAGGACTAAAATTGTTTTGATGATTTCATTATTTCTTTTAAGTTTATTGGGTGCTTTGACAATTTTACTCTGAAATCATTTGACGCTGAAAGCTTGCTGGTGTATTTGTTTTTAACCGACTTCACAAGAAGGAGAAGGTTATCAATTCGTCGAAATATTTTTTTATTATTTTTTTATGTACATATGTTACCGCATAACTTTGGGCCACCTCCGCCTGCCTCCGCAACCCTTGTGCATATTATATTTCGGTTCCTCTTTCCTTTTTCGTTCTTATTTTTTCATTTTGCCTTGAACTATGGTAAATTTCGTCGGTGTGGTGGGACGGAAAAATTTTTGGTATGGTGGCAGCCGACACCGTCCGTCGACGAGTGGTACATTTCGTCGACGAGTGGTATATTTGCTCGACCACACCTCAAAATTTTTGGCGACAATTAGTTCACACTGAAAATGCGCCTTCTCATTCATATACGTTCTCTGGTCTGGTGTAAACCCGTAAGTTAGGTAGGCAAAGGTTAGGATATATTTTTTTTTGCAAAAAAATGTGGAAAATCATATGGCAATCAATGAAAAACTCATGTTTTTTAATCATTTACTTGTTTTAACTATAACGAATTTATCCAAAAAAATTGTCAAATTCCCTAGTGTGCTGTTAAAAAACACTTTCTATTTTTAAATAATGCTGGGAACAGTCAGCACCTACTTCCTTCCTAGGGGGTAGAAGTATGCCCCATCTAACCACTCCTTACCTACACACATGCATTTCAATTAAATATTTAAACTACTGATATTGGCTTTATTTATTTATTTTTAATTAGAGTACATAAAACCTAAACATAACTTTTGAAATTCTACTAGTTTACAAATTTGTTAGTCAACATGTCTTTAAACAACAGCGATCAATCACATATACCCAGCCTTATAAAGACTGCTCGGGGTTTTTCTTAGTTTGCTACTAATAATTAAATTACATGAAGAATACCATATTACGAATGATTAACAGAAATCTATTGTTATAGTATCTATGTACATATGTATATATGTACATTTTTGTAACTACATATGTACATATGTATGTATATGGAAATTAACCCCAGCAAAAAAAATTTGCATATGATATTGGCAATGTATGTATGTATGTATGTACGTATGTTTTGTGAAATAAGGAAAAAATATAAGGATCAATAATGGATTAATTACGAAGATACCATTTCATTAACGATAAACGAAACGATCTAGTTTCATATACATACATACATACATACTACGGTTATGCGTTTGTCAGTTTACAAATCGTAGTTAAAATACATACACGAAATGGTGCCTTGCAGGCATTTTCGACTATGTTTAATGAATCTACAAAAACATAAACATAGTAATAGTAAGTATTTATTTACAAATATTAATCGATTAAGTATGTAAATAAAAAAATCGTGCAATTATGAAAGACAAAATAATACATATGTATTATGTGGGGCCAATTCTCGCCCTATGAAGTGGTGAAGTGGATTTAATAAAAAATTCAAACTCAGCGAGAATTTAATTTTTTCCTTATCTATTTACATCCAGCAAGTTATTATTTGATAAATAGTTGTGAGTGTAAACCAATGATGTTCTTTATCACAAGAAGATGTCTTGAGCAAAATGCCCAATTATTATTTTTCACAGCCACAAAACTTTGTGAAAAAACTTTTCATAGTGAACAATTTTTGCAAGTACCCAGAAGATAATTTATAGTAGACCTTTTTAAGTAAAGCCATTCTAAGAGACCTACCCAAGAAGAGCTGAAAAAAGTGCTTCTTTGCACCTAGAAGGGCTTATCCATTTACAGTTTACGCGAATGCTTAAGTATATATTATTTAGCATTACAAATGAATTTCAATAAACATTTTAAGTTGCAACAACACATATTTCATATAAACCGTAAGCAAATACTTCAAAGATGTATGATTTTTATAAATTAAAGGAAAAACATTAAAATAACTCCTCCAAAAGGCCTTCCGAAGTGCGTCCTATAAAAGCCCTCCTGTAAGGCCTTCTATGGGTAGTGAAAGAAAGAAGATTTGTGCCACTCCATACAAAAGAGAAAGGAGAAAGGAATGTAGAGAGGAAGGTCTCTTGACTATCAGGAAGGCCTTTCGGATTTTAACTTTTGAAATTATCTACTGGGTACACATCGTTATCTTAATATAGAAGGGCCATATCTCAAACTTTTGTTTCTTTACAGAGTAGTCATAAAGCTATATAAAAAAAAACCAAAGATCTTCAGTTGCAGATTCCTTCAAAACGTGGGTTTTTAATACACACTGAAACAAATTAATTGATGTAGTTGCTGTTTTTAAATTGTATTAGGTCCTTATTGAACACCCTGCCGACTTTTGTACAAAGCTGAGTTTGGAAAGAAAATGAGTTAGGGCCTTTCTATATTAAGGTAACGATATGTAATTTTATTTCCAATAGAACACAGAATCGTAATTTTGTGTGAAGTGGTGAACAATGTTTTCTCTTCACGTATTTACAACACAAGAATTGGCTCCTGAATATGTATGTAAAATTATTCACCAGTTGTTTTTGTAAATGCAGTGTTAAATCCAGTTGTATTCACAAGCAAAAAAAACCTTCGGCAATACCCTTGGTTATTTTTTGGCTCTTTTTAAGAGGAATAACTGGAAAAGTACATACCGAACAAATTTCGAAATCTACAAAATGCTTAAAAAGCGAATAATTGCGCTAACTGTCGGTTACGCCAGTGGAAAGTGATTTTCTGCACAGTATACAGCATGATACAATAATTTTTAGAAGGTAGTTTCACTTAAAAATTTTTGACATAAACCGTGTCTGTGACAAACACGAAATGTGGCCACTGCTACGATATAGAACTTGGGGATTATCGCTTGTTATTTTAGATATTTTTTAACAGAACATGTAAAGATTCATTTGTTTCATAACTGATCACTTAATTTTTAATATAAATATACGTATTTTATACATACATTTTTGCCACTGCTAATCACATGAATAAAAATCATAAAAATGAAAATAAAACAGCGATATTTCTTATTTATAATGGATTAGATCCATCGCACACCACGGACTTTATCGGCCGCCAATTTAGATGTGCTCGCTAGTCTTTCCATTGCACCACAACTTATTGGTCAGAGCGATTAAGCTGGTGTAATGTGCGCACCTCCATACATCTTCATGTACATATTTCAAGCGAGCC